CGCTGACAGCTCGGGGCCTGGAGCCTGCTTCGGATTCTGTGTCTCCCTCTCTCTCTGCTCCTCCCCCACTCACACTGTGTCTCTCCTTCTCTCTCAAAAATAAATAAACATTTTTAAAAATAGAAAAAAAGGAAGAAACGTTGTGTTGGGAATGCATCCTTGTGTTCAGAGCCGGTGAACTTGAATGCCTCTAGTACCTGAGCACTTTTTTATATGAAATTGTACAGCAGAACTCGGGGAGCGGGGGGAGATCCATCATTTTATTCTAACATCCATCTGTGAGATTTAGATCTTGTCTTGGAGAACAGAGGATAGGTAAGTTCTTTCCCACCCTTAATGAGTGGAAGTTGGTGAGGTTGGTCTAAAACAGTAACTTTTGGCCAATGAATCTCAGCCATTTGCCCCGTGGAGTCAAAAAAAGTGAAGTGAACCCTTCAAGACAACCCCCACTGCCTTCACATTCATTGCTTGGAGGGGTGGCAAACTAAGCACCCAGTTAATTGTTGGTTTCTCTTGATTTCAGTGTAATCAGACCCGTTGACGAGTTGAAGTGGACCGAATATTGCTGCTAGGTTTATGGTCAGTTCGGAGAGTGTTCTCATGTTTGTATTGAATAGTCTAAGAATATATATGTACATTTTACTGGTTACTGTAAATTCTTTTTTTTTTTTTCATTAGGTTTTAAAAGAAACATTTAATAGGGGCACCTGGGTGGCTCAGTTGGTTAAGTGTCTGACTTCAGCCTAGGTCATGATCTCTCTGTTCCTGAGTTTGAGCCCTGCATCAGGCTCTGTGCCGACAGCTCAGAGCCTGCTTCAGATTCTGTGTCTGTCTGTCTGTCTGTCTGTCTCTCTCTCTCTCTCTCTCTCCCCCTCCCGCATTTGCACTCTGTCTCTCTTTCTCAAAAATAAACATTAAAAAAAATTAAAGGAACAGTCATTTAATTTTTATACATTTATGTGTATGTGTGTGTATGTGTGTGTGTATATATATGTATAGAGAGAGAGAGAGAGAGAGAGAGCGAGCCTGTGTGAGCAAGGGAGGGACAGAGGGAATCCCAAGCAGGCTCCACACCATCAGCACAGAGCCCACCACAGGGCTCGAACTCACAAACCGTGCAATCGTGACCTGAGCCGAAACCAAGAGTCGGCTGCCCAGCTGATGGAGCCACCCAGGCAGGCGCCCTGAAGAAACAATCATTGAAAAGCTAGTTAGGTGTTCAGTTGTGTGTAGGGTAATTGATCCAGCTACTAGGATTTGTTTTTCTTTTGTTTTGCTTTTTTTAGAGAGAGAACGGGAGAGGGGCCGAGGGAGAGAGAATCTTGAGCAGGCCCCACATTCAGCGCAGAGCCCGACGTAAGGCTCAGTCCCGCAACCGTGAGGCCATAACCTGAGCCGCAATCAAGAGTTGGATGCTTAACTAACTGAGCCACCCAGCCGCCCCCAATTACTAGGGTTTTGGGGGTTGTTTTTTGTTTTTTGGTTTTTTTAATTAAACTATACAGCTCAGGTAGAGCACTTGGGGGGACATAGGGCAAGTCTCGTTGACCACGTGACATTTCACCTGGTTCTCTTGCAGGCCACGGCTGGTTTCTGTTTTCTTTTCTCAGCTGCTTACAAGTCAGAAAGCCTTTAAAAAGTTAACACTGTGTTGGGAAAGCCTTATCCTGACTTATAAACTTAGAAAAATTGGTCCATGATAGGAAAGCTGAGGATGGTGCGTAAAGAGAAAGAGGAGCGGACTGACAAAAATTGCCCCCAGTCCCTGGTGTCTTACGGATGTCGTGTCCCCTGCTCCGCGGTCCCGTGCGGTCACATGTGCAGACACGTGTGTTTATCAGACGCTTGGGGCTGGGGAACGAGAAGCAGCTTCTTGCAGGTGCATCATCTCGAAACACTTTCTCCGTAGAAACCAAAAGAGATCTGACTGCTGAAGGAAGAACTCCGCGTTTCACTTTCTGATGAACATACCGGTGATCTTGTGGGAAGATTGGACGCAGCCTGTTAGGAAAAGCCCAGCTCTTAGGCTGCGTTTTCAGCGATCTCTTGTGGGGGCTTGGCCGCGGCCTTAAGCGACACCTGTGAGCTAGCGGCACACCGCGTACGACTCTGTCCGTGCATTTTCGTTTCCATTGCAAACACAACGTGCTGGTTTTTCTTCTCCAGAAGTGTTCTCGGCCAGCAGCACTTTTGTAGTTCGGACCGTTTGGCAAAGTCTGGAGACGTTTTTGATCGTCAGAACCATGGCGGGTGGGAGCTGGTGCTGGCACCTAGCGGGTGGAGGCCAGAGAGGACACTCAGCAGCCTCCGGTGCACAGCACAGCCCCGTAACAGAATCCTCTGGCTCCACATATCTAAAATGCTGACATTGAGAGCCTGATGATTAGATTTTGCTTCTTTCTTTTCTTGGGGGGGGGGGCGGGCAGAGAGAGAGAGAAAGAGAGCAAGAGAGAAAGAATGTTAAGCAGCCTCCACGCTGGGTGTGGATCCCCGATACAGGACTCAAGCCCTCACGCCTGTGGGATGGTGACCTGAGCCAAAATTGAGGCTTGGGCGCTCAACTAACCGAGCCACCCAGGCACCCCAGATTTTACTTATTTCTAAGCACCCAACGTGACAGAATAAACGACGACGTGACTCGGGGTGGTGTCTGAGTCCTTTCACGCTGCTGTGGCAACATACAACAGATGGGGCAGCTTAAACGTCACGTTTATTTCTCGCGGCTCTGGGAGCTAGAAGTCCGAGATCCAGGCACTGGCAGATTTGGGATCGGGTGAGGACCCACTTCCTGTTTCCTCCATGACGTCTACTCATTGTGTCCTCACTTGGCAGAAGGATGAGAGCTCTCTGGGGGTCTCTAACATATAAGGGCGCTAATCCCATTCGTGGGGGCCCCACCCTCATGACCTAATCACCTGCCAGTGGCCCCACCTTTGAGCACATAGTGAATTCATCATTGTAACTGACTCATTACTGCCCCGCTCAACGTCAGCTCAGCATCAGCAAAAGTCCGTTCAGGGTTAGCCTTGTGTGGGGCACGATTTTGTTATTGTTTACATTGTCTCCCCTCAGTAATGTTTTTGTTTCATTTGGTTATGCTCCGATCTCATAGTTTTTTTATTTAGCCTCTCATATTTTCTAATGCTGTCTTACAAGTGAATTTCCCAGAATTCAAACAAATCTCAGGACAGATCTGTATTTCGGCTGTCAGATTTTCTCTTCAGTGTATACAGAAGCACAGAATATCACCAAATTAACTAAACGTAAGCATTTTTAAAAATTAACTTTTTTATTCATTTTTGAGAGACAGAGACAGAGTGCAAGGTGGGGGTGGGCAGAGAGAGGAGATCCAGAATCTGAAGCAGGCTCTGGGCTCTGAGCTATCAGCACAGAGCCCGACGCCAGACTCGAACTCATGAACCACGGAATCACAAGCTGAGCCGAAGTTGGACGCTCAGCCGACTAAGCCACCCAGGCGCCCCAACATAAGCATTTTTTGAGTGGCAAAATTCTGGTAACTACAGTGAGAATTGGAATAACCCAAGAGGCAGTCATGTTGCTTGTCTTCTGCTGCCTGTTGCCACGGGTGCAACAGCCAGAAACAACACATTGCTTCTCCCGAGTCTAGGCACGCCTTTGCTGGGTCCTCTGCTCAGGGTCTCACAGGGCTGTGGACAACCTGGTGGCTGGGCTGCATCTGCGTTTGGAGCTTGCCTGTCCCTCCATCCCGCCCCCAAGTTTCCACCTGCCTTCCAGCTATCCGGAGGTCTCTGCCAGACCAATGCAGTGAGCTCTGTGACAACATACAAAAGTTGGGGTTCCTCTTTGTCCATGCGCCGGTGTCCCGAGATGTGGCTTCTTCATAGAAATGACGTCAAGTGGACGTGCACCCTTTACTCCTCATTCACGATTGGTTTCCTTCTCCGTGCTACGGACGGGCCCATACGCAGAGCGACTATCAGCTTATCGCTTAAACTCGGCAAGTGAAGGGTATTTTGATTAATCATTTTTCTAGAACAACAGGTATGATCCAGTCAATGTGGTTACCTGCCCTAGGGGTGTTGACATGACTTCTAGTCTGCTCAGGCATCTTCTGTGTCTCTGGAAAAGCGTGTAGTGTTCTATCTGACCACGTCCATCAGAATGCACCTCAGGAACACAGTCATGCTCATTACCAAGTACGTTGTCATGTACGCAGCACACACGTGATTTTTATTGAATAAAAAGTTGGGCTTCGTGGGGCGTCTGGGGGGCTCAGTGGGCCTGACTCTTGGTTTCAGCTCAGGTCATGATCTCATAGTCCGTTGTGACACTGAGCCCCAAGTTGGGCTCTGTGCTGGCAGCACGGAATCTGCTTGGGCTTCTCGCTCGCTCGCTCGCTCGCTCGCTCTCAGTCTCTGCCCCTTCCTGTGTGCACGCGCTCTCTCTCTTCCTGTCTCTCTCACTCTCTCAAAATAAATAAGCATTAAAAAAATAAGTCGGGGGGCGCCTGGGTGGCTTGGTCGGTTAAGCGTCCAACTTTGGCTCAGGTTGTGATCTCACAGTCCGTGAGTTTGAGCCCCGCGTTGGGCTCTGTGCTGACCGCTCAGAGCCTGGAGCCTGTTTTGGATTCTGTGTCTCCCTCTCTCTGCCCCTCCCCTGTTCATGCTCTCTCTCTGTCTCAAAAATAAATAAATGTTAAAAAAAAAAATTAAAAAAAAAATAAGTCAGATTTTGTTTCCATTATCTGTTGGCCCTGAATTTGTCCCCATCAGTGTGGTTTGTGCCTGACCCTCCCAGCCTTGTAAAGTACACCAACACTTCTTTCGTTTTTTTAATTTTTTGAAACCTTCGTCCTGGATGCGTTTATATTGATATTTGTTATTGCAAAGTTATAATTACCTTCATGGTTATAACGTCACATCACGGGTGTTATTTCTTTAGTTGTCTCAGCGAGATGCAGTGACACAAATACAGGCAGTGTTTCAACACTCTCTCCACTTTCTCCTGTCGTCTAACAGAGGGCGGCTCCCGCATCGTAAAGACCTCGTCTCCGCGAGGTGAGGCTAAGATGAGCATAACCAGCGACGAGGTGAACTTCCTGGTGTATCGCTACCTCCAGGAGTCAGGTAAGAGGCTTGGGTGTCTGTCAGCAGGGGAGTCCTCTTCAACATGCCACGTGCAAGTCTGCCAACCGTTGGGCCGGAAAACCAGGCCGTAGGAAAAGAAGAGCAAACAAACGACGTTCTTATTAAGAGAGTTGAAAAAGAGAAGGCTCCGGGGCCGCCCCGTTCCCGGGATGGGGTGGGGAGCGCGTTCTTTTCTTCCCTTGATATTTCTGTCCGGATGAGATCAGATTGGAGTTAAGGTCAAGAGCAGTTGGGATGGACGTCGAGAGTGGGGTAGCGGAGGGAGCAGCGGCGCTTGGCTTCCTGCACGGTGAGGGCGTCTGTGGACTAGTCTGTCGTCACGATGTGTCTGTCTGTGAACCTCTCAGACTTGGAACCAGTGATCTGTTGAGCCCCTGAACCACTCCCCCAAATGGACCGTTGTCAGTTTCCCAAAACGTAGGAGTAGTTCCGGTTTCTTCCAGCACTTCTGATTAGGACCAAGATGTTACTCGGCAGTAAGCAAAGACCGGGGCAGATACGTGTTCCCTGCGGACACAGTGGACCTTGTGAGTAGCGTCTGCTATCCTCTGGGAGGAGGGGAGGGGCTGACAAGCACCCGGGGCCCGGGGTCTGGCCTGGCTTTGTCACAGGCCAGCCACAGTCCTCTGAGGAGCCCTGTGATGCCTCAGAGCGTGGATCCCCCCCATTCCTCGATGTCGCAGATGCCCCACACAGCGGAGCCTCACCACAGTGTCGTGGGCTGCTTGTGGGTGCTTTGTTTTGAATTCTCAAGAGTCTGAATTCTTCTTAAATTCACGTTATTAGGTTTTTAATGAATTTCTAAAATGAATATTGTCTTCCGAACTTTAAAATATTTCATTCGAGACGTACACGACGACGTTCGTGGAGGACATCCTACCCCTTCCGGTACGCGAGTTGGCGCCTGTGTGCGACCCTCCTCTGTCGTCCCCTCTCTCTCTTCAGTGGTAACTGCCCCTCCTGGGTTTTGCACTTGCCGTGTCTGCGATGGCTTCCTAAGCAGTGGGCGTACAGATGTATTAGTTTGCCCCGGCTGCTGTAACAAAGTACCACGGACCGGCGCGGCTTGAACAGAAATACGTTGTCTCACGTTTCTGGGGAACCAAAGTCCAAAATCAGGGTGTGGGCAGCCTTGGTTCCTTCTGAAGCCGCCGAGGGAGTCTGTTCCATGCCTGTCTCCCAGCTTCCGGTGGTTTGCTGGCCGTCTTTGCCTTTGTTGTCACGCGGCCTCTCCCTGTGTGCCTGCACCCCTGTCCAAATTGGTCAGATTTCTCCTTTCTGTAAATCTTCCTTCCGAGATTCTCTCCTTTTGGAAACAGCCGTCCTGGATTAGGGCCTCCCTGTAGTCCAATAAAAACCCATCTTAGCGGGGCGCCTGGGTGGTTCAGTCGGTTAGGCGTCCGACTTCAGCTCAGGTCACGATCTCGCGGTCCGTGAGTTCGAGCCCCGCGTCAGGCTCTGGGCTGATGGCTCGGAGCCTGGAGCCTGCTTCCGATTCTGTGTCTCCCTCTCTCTCTGCCCCTCCCCTGTTCATGCTCTGTCTCTCTCTGTCTCAAAAATAAATAAAACGTTTAAAAAAAAAATTTAAAACCCACCTTAGCATAACATCTGCAGCGACCGTGTTTCCGGATAAGGTCACTTTCTGAGGTGGACCAGGGCTTAGGACTAACTTAGGAATTTGGGGCGGGATCAATTCAGCCCCTAACTCTTGGTTTTGCACGTGTTTGAGCCTTTTACGCTTGATATCCTATCATTTATGTTCCGCAACTTGGTCTTTCAAGAAGGAAACCAGTTCCTGAGCCTCCACCTTCCAAAGACACACGGACAAGAGTGAGGGGCAAGCGGCATGTGAGCCCCTGGGTCCTGGCTCTTCCTCAGTCAGCCTGCAAGGTGTGGCATCCAGACCACGTGGCTCAGGCTCTGAGCCTTGAACAAGTTATTTACCCCCACGAGCGTCCCCTTCTGTGCAAAAATGGTTAACCTGGGCCATAGTACTGGAGTTCACTGGACACGTGGCATCATAGAACAAACCCCTCTCCCCGTCCAAGCCTGGATACCTGTGCCTGGGGACCCCAACTAGCACTTTCCATGGAAGGTGCACACTCTTTCTCCATGTAGATTGAGTCACTTGGAGTAGCTGGTCCCAGGCATAGTGTGACAGAAATTGATAAAACGTGTATGACCTCAGCCCCGGGGATTGGGGAAGTCACTAGTACTGATCTCCTACCTTATTGTGGGGCATTGCTCACCTGAGCACAGGTGCTCTCCTGTGACACAGCAGATACACTCTCAGAGCCATGTGCTTCCCTGTCGACTTCCACCATTGAATTCTGAATTCGAGATGCCTTTCTTTGTTTTTGTTTTTTTTTTTTTTTAATTTTTAATGTATATTTACTTTTGAGAGAGAGAGACAGAGCATGAGAAGGGGAGGGGCAGAGAAAAAGGAGACACAGAATCCGAAGCAGACTCCAGGCTCTGAGCTGTCAGCACAGAGCCCAACATGGGACTCAGGTCCATGAACTGGGAGATCATGACCTGAGCCAAAGTCGGATGCTCAACCGACTGAGCCACCCAGGCACCCCCAAGATGTCTTTCTTTTAAAACCCCTCTGCACGAAGATACAGTCAGAATATGTGGTAAAACCTCGAGCTGAACTTCAGCATGAATAAACGGTGTGGGAGAGATACCTAAGTGTGGCCCGGAGCGAGGGTTCTGGGTTGGCTGGTCCCTGGGGCCCGAAGCACTCCAGCAGGAGAGCTGCTGGCCTCTTTGCATAAACACAGAAACCATCCCTGCCCCAGAAAGGCCACACTTCCTTTTCGTGTGTGTGTTTACACGCGGCTCCTGTTTGTGGCCAAAGCTTCCGTAACCAGGCAACCGAGGAAGGGAGTTGGGGGACGGGATGGATAGGATATCACTGGGGTGGATTTTATGTCACAACTGTGAACGCCTGTCCTCTCTGTCACAATCCTTATCGACCGTCCCACATGTCGCGTGGGTATTTAAGAAAGCCATGCTTGAGCTTCGTGACCACAAGGCCTGGACTTGACCCGAGTCCTCCCATAAGGACAAGTTCAAAAGCAGGGAGAGAAGAAATGCCACATTCAAGTGTTCCTTTTGGGGTCATTCTATATGTTCATTTCAAATCCTAAAGATTTGATGAAGCACGTATTGATTGAGGGCCCATCAGGTGCAGAGAGCACCTTCTCAACCTTCCAGTGTCTTCTTTCTAGCTGCAGAATCGGGGTTGGGGCGTTGGGGGTGCCTGGTGGTTCAGCCGGTCGAGCATCTGACTTCGGCTCAGGTCGCGATCTCATGGTTTGTGGGTTCAAGCCCCACGTCGGGCTCTGTGCTGGCAGCGTAGAGCCTGCTTCAGATTCTCTGTCTCCTCCTCTCTCTGCCCCTCCCCTGCTCATGTTCTTTCTTTCTCAAAAATAAATAAACATTAAAACGGGGGGGGGATGGTTGGGGAGAAAACACACCCCTTGAGCATACGTCTCCTTCAGGCATCTCTGCTCTCCCCCACGTACCTCCAGCAACTCAAAAATAAGTCCTGTGTGAACATAGGTGACTCATTCCTCCGCACCTACCCATCCAGCTTTCCCTGCCAGACGACTCCAGGAGGTTCTCTGTTTCCGAGAACCCCTCTCGTGCAGCAGGGTCCCATCCTTAGGCCTTGTGTGGAAGAAGGCGGGTGCAGGGGAGGGAGGGAGGAGGTGGTCAGCGGATGGCTTTACAGTGAGCTAGACAGCTAGTTCTCTGGTCTGTGTGCTCTTAGCCTCACTGCACGGGGACAGACCCACCAGGTTCCAGCCCACCTTCACGGGTGCAGCGAGGGACAAGTTCCCCGAACCACGGTTGCTCCTAGTCCCGGCCACCTGAGCCACAGGGGAGAGCCCGCCTTCTCTGTGCCGAGCCAGTGGACAGCGTTCCTGGCCCTCCTGTCTCTAGCAGCTTCTGTCCTGGATCCTCTGTATCGGTGAGGACGCTGTGAATCCCCAAAGGAATATTTGTCTCCCCGATGGCAGGAAGGCAGTGTATTGAAGATGATCCCTTCCTTGTTGGGAGAATCCAGGTCACGTGACTTCAGACTTGGGAAAGAGTCCCCAAAATGGGCTTACCTCATTTGTCTGCCCACGAGCGGCAGAATTGAGATCCTCTTAGATCTTCCCTGGCCCTCGCCTGGAAGTGAGGAGGTAGATTCCAGACCCAGAGGAATATCCCACGACCGTCAAGGCAGACGGAGATGCCTTGTTACCGTCGTTAGTTGTCTGAAGCAGGGGCCTCGCCCAGGAAAGGACTCAATAGATACTCTTGGTTTGTGACATCTCACGGTAGTGGCTTCCGGGCTCCCTGAAGGATGAAAGTGCTGGTTGGTAAGCAAGGCTTTTATTTATTTACTTATTTTTAATTTTTCTTTTTAAATGTTTATTTCTGGAAGAGAGAGAGAATGTGAGCAGGGGAGGAGCAGAGAGAAGGAGACCGAGAATCCCCAACAGGCTCCTTGCTGTCAGTGAGCTGTGAGTGCAGAGCCCGACTCGGGGCTCGAACCTGTGAACCGCGAGATCGTGACGTGAGCCAAAAGCAAGACTGAGACGCTTCACCAAGTGAAGCGTACCACCAAGTGAAGCGTACCTCCTCAGTCAGGAGGGCTTTTAAGTTAAGCAGTGAGAAACGTGAATTGTCAGCCACAGCACCCAAGTGGACAAGGTAGCTTTTGCCTGACTTACGGCAGTCCCGCTTCGAGGGGTAAGACTCCGCCGACCTCTGCCTCGTGGTGGTTAATCGTGCGGTCACTCTTGCTGTCTGGGCCATTGTAGGAGACACAGATGATGGCGGGGCGCCGTCCCACCCAGCCCTAGGCCCGCTTCACGCTCTGAGCCAGATAGAGGCAGGGAGCGAGCCCTGCGAGGGTCTCAGGCTGCCCCGGCTTCTGTGAGCAGCGTCTCCAGATCCTGGATGAATCTGGGCTTGTTTGC